CAGATGGTAAGGACAGCTATTTTTTGAATATAATGGGAAATATGGCAATCATGGTTTCCTATTATATTGTGTTGAAGTCTTATAATGCTTTCATTCATTGATCTGATTTTAATTTTGTTTTGTTTGATTTTATTGTGTGAGATGGTATTAACGCTAATTTGAAGAAACAAGGTAGCTATTGCTGATTTACTATCATCTTGTTTTGAAGTCCTACCAATCTGTTTTGATTGGTTCTATCCTGTTGTGTTTTATTTGATTTTATTATGTGTGATGTTACAGACAAATTTTTTGAGGAAAATGAGGTATTATAGCAGCCATTGTTCATTTCCTGTTATTTGGTTTTGAAGTCCTGTAATGCTTTCATTCTTTGAATTTTTTTACTATATTGTTATGTTTGATATTATTGTGTGTGAAGATGTGCTCAACTATTTCAACGCAAAGAGACATTATGTTAGCTACTGTTGATGTCCAGTTGTTTTGTTGTGAAGTGCTGTGTTGCTTGCATTTTCCTGTTCTGATTTGCTTTGTTTCATTCTGTTTTCTTTTGTTCTCTTTAAAATAAAAAAAAAAAAAAAAAAAAAAAAAAACCTAGTAACATGTTGCACTTCAGTGTTACTATGGCCATGTTATCATTAAGTAATAGGAAAACTACAAAATCAGGTTGTCAAAATTAGGAAATTAACATTGACCTAATGTTGTAATACACAGAGTTGTTCATAGTTTGGTTACCCATAGTATATCTTGTGGTGAAAGAAAATTTCAGGTGATATAGTATATTCAGTTGTCATTTTTTATTTTCCTTTAATCTAGAGCTGTTTCTCAGTCTTTTTGACATTTTGAAGAGTGTAAGCAATTTATTTTGTAAAATGCCTGTAATTTGGGTTTATCTAATGTTCTCTCGTAATTGAATTCGGGTTATCCATTTTTGGCAGGTGTACCACAGAACTGATATGCTTCTCAGGTGTTTTAAACATGTAAAATGTGTAATTCAGTGGCAGTATAGTCTCTGTAATTTACATTCATATTCCCTGTGTAATTTTAAAGTATCCTGTTGGAAAAAAATGTTTGGAGTTTTGTAAATATCTTGTTATCCCTTGAACTTCTATACACAGATTTTAATATTCATTGGTGATAGCTCTTCCATTGGTAATTTCTGCCTGAATAATCTTGAACAGTTTCTAAGTGATGATTTTCGAATTCTGTTATTCCCTTTGTACTTAATGTTTACTCTGTCCTTGCTTTAGCCTTTGAAGGTCGCTTCAGACTGATTCTTGTATCCTCCTGCCATTTTCCTGTTGTTCTTTAAGCACTTTCTTACTTTTTGCCACAAGAACATATTCTAGGCTCACTTTCCACTCTTTCTGGCCCAGCCCTGGAATAAGTAATTTCCTTTGTATTAGAAAATGGCTTTATTAGTTGCTGTTGGCTATCATTGCTGGGCCCTCTTGAGACATCTAGGAAAAAGATGTATGTGTATGTATATGTACCAGTAGGTCTTTTCCTGTCTACAAAAGTGAATTTTACTTCTGATTTTTTTTTTTTTTTTGTGAAACAGGGTCTTGCTTTGTAGTTCAGGCTGGCCTTGAACTCAATATTTAACCCAGGTTGGCCTTGAATTTAGGGCAGTTCTACTGCCTCTGCCTCTTGAGTGCTGGGATTATAGTTGTGTGCCACCACGTCCGGTTGATACCTCAAATGTTTGTCTTCTCTTGTCTCATATTTATATTCTATCCAACAGTGAGACACGTGGTCCTGTTGTTCATAGTTTTGCTTATTGGTTCAATCCCAGAATATTAGAAAATAGTTTAAGAATTGCTTATTCATACTACTGCTTGAAAGATTCCTAATAAATAAGATTCAGTGTTTGTTTATAGTTTTTTCCTTTAGCTTAGGGGTATATTGTCTGATCATCGGTTATCCAAGTTTCGTAGATACTGATCATGTGAATTGAGATGGGTTCTAAGTGCAGAATAGTCATTGGATTTTAAAACAATACAGAATTAGGAATATTAATGTTTTTATATTTTGTTGACTGTTGAAATATTTTAGGTGTATTACATAACATATATTAATATGATTAATTTCACCTATCTTCGCTTTACTTATTGTGACACAAAGTATTGAACCCAGGGCCTTCACACTCAGCTGTATCCCCCGCCCTTTTTTATTTTGAGGCAGGGTGTTGCTAAGTTATCCAGACTGGACTCAAAATTTGTGATCATCTTGCCTCAGCTTCCTAGAGTGCCACCATGCCCAACTTATTTTTACTTTATTTTAATTTCACTACTGGGAAATATTATACCTGTGACACTATTTTATTTTTATTGGACAGTCCTGATTTTAAAACTGTTCAAAAGTTATGTGGATTAGTTTTATTTGTCTAGCATCCCTTCTCTCCTACCCGTAACTGTGTTATTCATTTGAAATGTAGTTCAGTTCATTTGTTTGTATTTTTTGTTGTTCTTCTCATCCCAGTCTGTCTTATTTATTCTCATACATGTGAAACATTAACATGGTTCTAGAAGTTAGCATTACACAAAAATATGTTTATTCAGAATATTGACATCTTATTTTTCTTTATGTAGACATATACTATTTCATTACTCCTGGGCTGTTTTCAGTATTTTGCATTTACAAATAGTGCTGTAGTCTTCTCTGTAGATATTTTTGTATATCTGTCTTGGTTACTTTTCTCTTGTTGTTGAGACAAAATACATGATGCCCAAAGTGAAGCAAGGAAAGGTTTATTTAGCTTACAGTTTTTGGAGATTTCAGTCAATATTCAGCTTGCTCCAAGGCATGGTGGCATGGCTAAGGGGCAGCTGTTCATGGTGGTGGCAAGCCACAAGAGTGAAAAGACAAAGGACAAAAGAGGGAAAACGCACCTCCTTCCCTTCCTTACAGTTGTATGTTGGCTCCACCACTGGGCGGGTGTAGCACTCACACTGCTAATCCCAGGGCTAGACAGTGAACCAATCACAAATGCTAGATTCAGAGCTTCCATGACTGCATGAGGCTTGGGGGGGGGGCTTCCAAATATAAACTGTAACAATATCAGAAATACTTTTGGGTAAATTAGTAACATGGGTGGTTGGATAAAAAGTTAAAAGCAGGGACTGGGGGTTTAGCTCAGCGGCATAAGTGCCTGCCTTGCAAGCAGGCAGTGGTGAGTTTGATCCCCGGCACCGATAAAAACGAAAAAAAAAAAAAAAAAAAAAAAAGACCAAAAGTTAAAAGCATATGTAGCTTAAAAAAATACTACTAAGTCTGTTTCTGTGGAGATTGTGCAAATCTGAATTTCCATCAATGTATTGATTTGCCCATAACATCTACTTGAGTGTATTGGTATACTTTTAATTATTACTATTCTGATAAGTTCGAAATGGCATCTCACTACATACAGCATTTCTTACTATTATAGAAGTCAGTCATCTTTTTGTGTGTCTAAGGGTCATTTTTATGTAAAATACCTTGTATTTTCACTTATCCAGTTTTTTATTCTTTGTCCCTTAATTTTTGAGTGTTGAGTTATTAATTGTAGTATTATCAATTTACAAGTGATACATTTTATAGATATTTCTTCTAGTTTGTTATCTTTTGACCTTGTTTATAGTGTTTGGGTATAGGTGTTTAGGTTGCTATATTGTCCAATTTTCAGGCTTTTGTTTCATTTGAATTTTGGATTAAAATTAGTTTTCCTATACCCATGGAAGAAAAGAACTCACCTATGTTTTTTCTTAATGAATACTTGTTTGGTTTTAGTTACTAATTTGGATCCCTAATCCATTTGGAAGTGGTCTGTTTTGTTTTGTGGTGATGATGATTGTTAAGAATGTGGATACTCTTTGCAAATTTGTCCCAGCATAGTTTCTTTAACCAAGACCAATTCTGTCTCAGGTATTTTGAGATATCCTTATCATATATTAAATTTCATGATTTATTTTTGAACTTCTTATGCTTCATCGTCCCACTATTTCTTTTTAGAAGCTTGATAATATATTGAGCTAGCTGACTTGGTGATGTTGAATTGTTTTTGGTTCAAGAACAAAGAGTATTTCTCTTTTTGTCCTGACTTTTGTATCTTTCAGAATAATTGTGAAGTTTTCTTCATTTGATTTTTGTATACTCTTTATTTATTTTAAAAAAACTCAATGTGTAGCATTTATAGAACTATATTGCTCTTTTTAGTGTCTTTAGTAGTATGAATGCATGATAATTTATTTGACCTGGTTCTATCAGTGGACATTGAATTTGTTCATTTACTGTTATAAACAATTTAGAATAAATATTATTGTAGAAGTCCAATTACTTTCTTAGATTAAATTCCTCAAAGAATTGTCAGATCAGAGGCCCTTTGATTCATAAAGGTTTCTGAAACACATTGTTAGAATGCTAATAAAATGCATATGTCCAGCAGTGTGCTTGAGCTTTATTGTATTGATGCTCACCAAAGCAAGGCCTCATTACTATTATTTTTTTTTAATCTTTGCCAGTTTGATAGGCATACAAATAACATTTTTATTTTGCATTTCTTTGCTAATTTATGTGACTTACGTTTTCTTTGCTACACCGAAGAGACTGACTTTTTTGTCAGCTAACCAGGCAGCCAGCATATGAAGTATTCACTTTGTGCCAATAAGCTTTACTGTGTGTGGGAACTATAGTAATGATTAGGAATTGAACGGCTTTTTGTGTTTCATATCATTGTCTCATTTCTATTGGTTTGTTTCTTCTCTCTTTTTGGGGGGATGGAAGGGGTAGCAGTTAGAGGACATCTTTTACTATTAGACTAGTCCTTAGAGACCTGAGAATATTTCTTTATTCTGTTTTGTTTAAAGCTTCTAAGAAGTACTTAATGTGTATGTGTTTTCATTGCATATCCTGTGGTAAGTCACTGTATTAAACTTTGAGTATTTACAAAATGACATAATTAAGTGCTTGATAGATGGCAAGGAAATACTGTGTATTTTTATAAAAATTACTTTTATTATTATTTCCAGATAAAGCTGCTGCTCAGAAGGAAACATTTTGTACAATTACCTTCAGACACAATCTTTCTAAATGTTGGAGAGAAGAGTCTTAATAAGAGTTTTATTATTCAAAAAATAAATGTGGTAAGTGGACTATACTTAGACATATTTTGTAGAGTATTTATTTTCTTTAAATATTTACTTGATTGTCTTCTTATTTTGTAACTTTCAACTAAGATACTTGTGAAAGTGTCAATTTCCTGAAAGGCAGGGTCTTTCAAACATTTTCTTGCTTCTATTGTCTGTCTTGGCTTTGTGTTTGTTAACTTTTGGAATTAGTTTTCAGAGTTGAATTACAAGCGAGGCTTGGTTTAGTTACTTTGCTTGGTTTTAGTCATTTTCCACTGGAATAACTGAGAATTAGTATCAAGTATTACTAAGTTCTAGCTTACCTATAGTTCGTATAGAGAGTAACAAAGACGCAATGTTATTGTAGGACTTTAGTGATTTTATTTAGGAAGAAGTGATGGTCATTTACATCCTTAGAGTGAATAATGTTAATAAAGATGTTGGAAATGAAAAATAATTGGGCAAATGACTTCAATTTTTAATATTCAATATATATTTCAATATGTATTTAAGTATTTAATACATATATTTATGTTCAATTATCATTTCTTCTCAGAGTCCTTCAAAGAAGACTCAGTAGGTTGTTGATATGACCTGACACTTCGTAAGAGGTTTTCATACCATATCCTCTGATGATCTTTTAGGTATATTATAGCTTCTGACTCTTAGTATTGTTTTTGGCAACTGGGAAAGCTGATTTGCAGGGTGAAGGCTTTAGTGATAATCAGAGGGTTGATCACAGAAGCTGTCAGAAGGTAATTGTACTCTTGTGCTACTAACTGTTACAGGATGAGACTGATGATTTGCAGATTTTTTTAAAAAAATGGCTTTGCACAGCTACACATAGTAAAATAAATGATTTAGAGACTTGGGTCAAACAGTAAGGATGAAGTAGACAAAGGAGGGGTTAAGATTCTCCTTTGGTTTTTGTTTTCTTTTGTTTTTGTTAGTATCAGAAAGCTGTCATTGTATATTTCTAGGTGTACTCGGCTCATAAATAGATAGGCGGGAGTTCATGGTATGCTAGATCTCAGAGCAAATTGTGAGATTTAATCTTGGTTATTTAAAATCTCCTTATATCTCACTTATTAGGAGCATTACTTTTTAAAGAAGAAGCTAATTTGCAACTGGCTATAAAGAGTGACATTGTGTCTGGGATAATGCTGTACTGTTCCTCAAGAGTACTTTTTCAGTCTTGAAACACAGCACTGACAATCTGACAATGTGAATTGTTGAACATGAGTTGGGGAAGAGGGACAGTAAAGTGATTGTGTGTAAGTTAGTGAGATAGGGAAAGGAATGAGAGAACAGAGAGCAACTCTTAGGTTTCGTGGGGAGTTTGAATGGAAGCTGTTCTAGTTAGGCTCTACTAATGTCAGTGAAATGAAACTACTGTGTGTGTGTGTGTGTGTCTTTGTTGAGGTGGAAAAACTTATTTTTTCAAGTATTTTTTTATTTTGTCATCAAAACTGTGAGGTAGAATGAAAAATTTTGAAGAGATTAGAAATATTTTATACCAGGAAATGAAACTGTGAAGATTAGGGTAATAGAAAGTGGGGCCTAATCTCTTCTGGGAATTACTGTTAATTGTAGTGAGAGTAGCTAGCATATTTAGATCCAAAATGACTCAACCTTTATCTCAGACAAGTATAACTTTCTGATACACTTGATTTGATTCATAAACACACACATACACATGCCACTAGCTGGTATTTTTTCAAAAATATATGGCCAACTATGCCAATGTTTGTCAGACATTAAGGAGTGAATTTCAGGGTGTCTGGATATTTGGATTACAGAGGAGAATTTAGTGTGGGGCAAGTTAGAGTCCTAATTATATACCAAGTATAAGTTGAACACTCAGAAAAGTTTTAATTTGAGAGCATTACAGGTTTTGGATTTTTGGATTAGGGATGCTCACCCCATATTATAAAAGTACACTGTAAAATTTAAAACAGTTCTGATTGCAAGCATTGCAGATGAGGAATATTCAGTGTGTATTTGATTGTATTCCTGAGTGTAATAAATAAAGGATCAGACCTGGTGCACTGTTTTAAAGCCCATTCCCCTTGTTGATTCTATTTCTGGTTTTAGAGTATTACCACTTGTTTGATCATTGATGTTATTGGATTAAGGAAGCATAGGAGAGGTATCATTCATAAGGTAGTTTGCTACCTTATTTTTTCTACACCAATGATACTTTTTAAAAAAAAATTCCAGGGATGAATGGGAGGGTACCTGTAGTAATCAAGGGAAGATGTAGTGTTCTAAAGATACCACAGTAATGCTGCTTCTTTAGAATTATTGCTAGGTTCTAGACTTGATTCTTCACTGCCTGGGGTATTGAATGCCTCATCCTATGTTGAAGGTTTTCCTTGACCGAATATAATCCTTTTGACAGAATCTTCCACAGCTTTCATAAAATGAAGCTTTAGCTTTACCTAAATTAATGTTACAGATTGGTTGTGTCTCTCCTGTGTTCATATATTGAAAAGTAATCATCAGTGTGCTGCTAGTAGGCAAGATCTTGGGCAAGTATTTCGTCATAAGAATAAGGCCCTCCTGAATGAGATTAGTGGCCTTATAAGAAGATGTCAAATACTGTGTCTCTGCCTTATGAGGATACAAGGAAGGATCAGACATCCGTACCCTAGAAAAACACCTTCACCTGAACTTGGCTGTGGTGGCACACTAATCTTAGACTACCACCTGCCAGAACTATGAGAAATTTCTGTTTATAAACCACCCAGGATGTGGTGTTACAGCTTGAACTGCACATTCAATAGCTTTAGAATAAATTATTCTGTATCTTCAGAATAGATTCTAGAATAATCTATTATAAATTCGATATCTTCAGAAAAACTTTTTTGTCTCTTGGTATTGTTCAGTATTTTTTCTAATTTGATTGTTTCTTCTCATTCTCTTGAGTAATAACTTCTAAAGGCCTACCTACAGTATCACTCACTTGCTAACATTTTTTCTCAATACTCTAGGCCTTTAATGATGTGTTCCTCCTCTGGATTTCTATCATTTACTGTTTTTCTCTTAGATGGCAACTTTAAAGCAGCTTCGTATCTTTACAATTAGGCCAAGACACCTTGAGGGATAAAGCTGCATTTTTATTCATCAGAAACCATATTATTACTTGTAGTTTAACTTAATTTCCACTGCTTCAGCATAGATTTCAGTACAGTGTGTATTCTTAATATTGTTTGATAGAAACAATATTACCTGTTAATTAGCTTTTATCTGTCTTTAACATTTATGTTTCTTTTTGAATCATAAGATAAATAGATTAGAATATAATTGAAATATCCGAAAATTATTTGTTCAGTAGATTATTCTTTAAAAGCCTTGTGTTGTACTCTGTATCTGCTGTCTGATGCATAAAGGAATGTTGCTCTGAAGATGTTACTATATTTTAAGGTGATTGTTGTTCTTGAAACTTTAACTGGTAAGCTTTGAGACTGCATGAAAGCTCTTAATAATTTATATTGTTTGCTTTAAAGTAAAAGTTACTTTTTTTACTTCTTAGGCACCTTTTGCTTTTATACTTGTTGGCAGAGCTACAGGGAGAGAGGAGATAGATACAGAGCCCTAACTACTATATCTCACAGATTCCACCTTGTTTTAAATATTCATTCTTGTTGCTCTTGAACGTTGGTGTTTATTATTCTGTTATGCTTTGTTTTACTTCATCAAGGTTTTTAAAAGGTCTATATTCTAGACCACTAAAGTAGTTAAATTTGGACTTTGAAATCTGAACCAACATTTGGAGGCCCTAGGTTTCAGTTTCTTCATCTGTAAAATTGGGATAATATTAGACAGCATTTCATGTATTGTAGTTGGGATCAAACGAAGTCTTATATATAGATACTAAGCATAAACTAACTATAATAGCCTCACCTTTTAAAATTTACTCAAACTAAAGCTTATTAGCTTTAGTTTATGCATCCTAAAGAGGAAAAAAGGTGAAATTGTAATACATGTCAAGATTAATGAATAGCCCCAAGTCTTACTCGTTTAAGCTCATTTATTGTCAGTTACAGTACATCAGTTTAACTAAGGACAAACCTGGGAGAGAAAGCAATTTCAAATATCTTTAGAAACACAAACCGACCCTCATATATGTTGTAAGGGAAAGAAGTTTTAGGAGGTTTTGCTCCCCTACCTTTTGTTTTGCTCCCTGTTGCCAGATTATATATACAGGGTAGAAAGCAAACTATTCCTCCCACCTTTTTATTAGATGTTAAATTGCTGTTGTTCAGTAAAACTTTGCTCTGAATTCTTTTAGAGGTGGTCAGTAATAGCTGCTAACATTATAAACTTGGTTCACTTAAGTTGGTGAGCCATGGGGTTACCATGTCACTGAAGTGTGAAAGAGACTTAAGCAGTGACCTATTTCCTAACCTATAAAATGTGAAATCTGCTGGTGATGATGCGTGGCATCAATAGCTAGTGGAGCGTAAAATAAGTTCAGAACATTAATTGCGTTACGTCGTGACAAAAACCTTTTCATGCCATTGTTTTTGTATCTTGGGACTTCAGGATCCTATGGATTTATGTATCCTATATCCTTTATTGTCCTGATACTCAGATTTTTATGAAATATTTTATTGTCTTGGTACTCAGATTTTCATGAAATGCTTGTTTCCGCTGTGCAGGCTATATTTTTGTTCAACTGCATGCAAAGAGGCAAAGACTATAAATATGTAACAAAAATACTATTAAAATATTGTGACTATTAAATATGTTCTGTATAAGACTGAGAAATACTGTTTGCAGTTGGTGTTTGATATACATGTTTCTTTTAAGACTCAGATTTGAAAGTGTATTCTCTATTGTTGTTTGAAACTTCCTCCAGCCTAAGAACATTGATAACAGTTTCAGTGGTTGTTATTCCCATGTTCACATGTGCTTCTAGAGGTTTTCAAATGCTTGGGTAGTTTGAGGAAAGAGGTTAAATATTACTCTTATGGGGAATAAGAGAAGAGGGAGTTCTTCTCCTGACACCT